GAGGATGCTTGGACTCACTACACAAACTGAGTATGGGGATGCTTGGACTCACTAATGCTGAAATCCTTTCAACATGCAATGATATCTGTATTAAAGCCGTTTTCTCACCATCATGGATGTACTTAGGAGTCTTGGAGGAGACATTCTGCAGGATGTTATTCATTCGCTCGGTGTTTCTACGAATTGCCTCATTGTGGTTAACCATCGGGAAAGGATAGTCTTTACCTAATGATAAAGCAGAAAATATCAAGTACATGTATATCAGATCTAAGTGTTCTAAAGTCATTGTAACACAAAAAATTGAGAGGAAATAGGAAATGAGTTCAGACAATGTTAAAAAAAAGTTAACAGAGGGCTTTCGTAAATCTTACTTTAAAATGGTGGCTCAAGTAAAGTCTGATTCATATAACTTCAAGAGAATGTGAATAAATAGAAAAATATCAGGTCAAAGTCAGCCGTCCATGCTACAAATTCACCATTTTAAACAAAATTCAACTTCTAAAGTATCTATATCTGTCTCTACTCCATATTTCATTATCGCTACACATGTAGTTGTTGCACACATTGGATACTCCACTGCACAAAATACAAAATGTGTGATATACATATACCTACAGCACTTGAAAAACAGAAAAAGTAGGCTAAGTATTCTAACAAGGCACAAGCAAAACCAGAAACATGTAATTAAAAGGAAAACTTGACTTTGTCGAACATACATGTACCTGTACCATTCTCTAGTAATTCAGCTAAAATTGAAAGAATGATACTAAGATCATGATTTCTCCGAGAACAATCAACATTCTAATTTCCATAAATTTCTTACCAATGGTGCATTTTGCCTGTTCTTGGATTTCAAGCGGAGCTGTCCATGGGTTGTAAATGTACTTGGAAGAGAAGTTCTTCAGAGCTGGGATGTACTTACTGCAATATTTAGAATAACAATAAATTGCTCTTACAAATCATAGTACTGTTCTTCACCAGTGATATCAGGGCATCAACATCTTATATATTGATCAAACTACAACTTCAATGCTGAAACCAAAAATATTATAGTTTTCCAGCTCCCTGGTGGAAAGAAATTTCTACGAAGTGCACAAAACCAGATTACCTAAGTACTTTTTTCTGAGTACATGAAAGTCCAATACTGAGCCAAATTCTAAGCCATGCAAAAGGCAGCATTCATCCATTGTCAGCTGATGACTACTGTAATTATCAGAATATAAACCATAGCTTAAACATAGATTCTCACGCTGAAAAAGTCCTTACAGCTGATTCGTTGCGCGGCTTACACGGTAAACTCGGAAGGATAAAATCAGTCATAAGAACCATGGCCAGGCCACGCGTACCAAGTGCTGGTGGCGCAGTCATGTTTTCATAGGTTGCCTTTTAAATCTGATAACTTGAATCTCAGAGAATAAATAAAAATTCAAGTTGTCCGGATTTCAAGTTATTAACGGAATTGCCCAGTAATGGGGTCATGAAACACATACATGAAATGTGTACGTAATCTTAAACTTTACTTGCTCTGCTGTGGCAACATTTTTCAGTGATTATTTTCCTGCTTTTTATTCTTTTTTTCAGACAAGTAATCATTTTACTAAGATTTTCTTTACTGTTGTTACCTAAAGATTTCTTTCTACATGTACCATTAAAAATCAATCGCTTCAATGGTCTACCTTCGTGTGGCAGATCTTTCATCTTTTTGCCGATCATTGTTTGGCGTGACATGCCACAGAATTTTAGGTATTTTTCACTTGGGTTTTCTGATGAAAACTTTCTGTGGTCACGTGGTTATTGGAAAGAGTCAGCAATTGAACAGTTCATGAATGAGTCTGCGGTAGCAGTCAAGCTAGCCAGAAAACAGGATTTGTTGCAATCGCGTTGGTGCACACAGTGTGTGTGTTGCACGCAGCATGCATACAGCACAAGCAGTTCCAATGTGATGATTGGAACCAAGGTCTTACTGCGTTTTTTTCATTTTTGAAGTGATTTGGCGGTGTTTTTTTAATGGCATCACAAAAACTTCAAGATAACCGGATCTAGTGTTGTGGACAGTTAAAGAGGTATTTTGTTACACAAAAGCCGTTCTTTTGGCAAGAAATAGTCAGCCTACGAGATTAAATGATCTTTCAACTTAACTGACTTCAAGTTACCAAGATTGTATTGTACGTCCCCGAGAGCAAAACTTTTTCTGGCCACTTGGAAAAAAAGGGCAAGAGCTGATGCGCAGCTCATGTAGGACAATCATCCAGCCCGCAAAAGTTGGAACCACTGATGCACTGTACTGGGGCTTCAACATGCAGCACCTTCATGGTTGGATTATCAGCGCTGCGGTGTGGCTTGTACACCAGTGCGGCTTATACATCAGGTGGCTTATATTCTGAAAATTACGGCATATGCTAGCATCTTGGCTTTATTTGACTCACCGTATGAAGTCACCATTGGGGTCTGTCTGCTGACCAAACTTGACTGGGCAAAATGTGTAACAGTGGAAGAACTGCTGATAGAAAGAGGAACATGACAACCAGATCCAATTCCCAGCATTCACACTCCAATCAGCATCAAGCAGAAGGTCCTCAAATATCTGAAAACAAAACACGTACATCAATCCTTCTACGGTAAGAGATAAAAGTACACAAATAATGACTACAATGATTGGTGGGGTAAAACAAGCCTCTAAAGGTGATCCATGGAGCATTCTAAGAACATTCCATGGATCACCTAAGAAAAGTAGTTTTACTAAATGTACAATACAAAATAAAACAGTCAATAATTGTTGTTTGACACCTCTCCCACAGATTCTGCTTGATTTCAGCAATAACGTATTAATTCAGTGTAAATACATATAAAATGTGCACAAACTGAATGAGAAATTTGTTGAAAATTTACCAGTACTTTTCAATAATTTTCCAAAGTACATGTACCTCTTCAGGAAATAATTGAACCCAGCTTAGTAGTGCTAGCATTTTGGAATACATACAATCTGCACAACAGCATGCATTTGCTCACACTGCTCCTGGTTATGTATGATTATAGGTTTTTGGTTGCTATGCAAATGTAATGTTAGAAGCTCTTGACCAATCCGAGATGAGGTGTTATAGTTTTCATAATCCTTCATACCACAACTCTTCAGTTATCATGGTACTCTGATCCACTCAAGGTAAACCAATCATTTTTCAGTCAGATGTAGTGATAATCTTATTGAACTGTTGAAAATACATGTAGTTCCTCCTACAAAATGCTTCACCTTCTAATGACAAGTAACAATGACAGAGGTAAGCCTGACCTTTGCCCCTTCCTCCCAGCTGATCCACAAGTCACCTCTTGTCAAGAAGCAGGCTACAGCATGCCGAGCCACTGGATGCACCCAACCTTCTTGTCTCAACTGGATCATGATAGCATCAATCCATGGGAATCCAGTCTGGCCCTATACAAATAAATCAATTTCAAGAGAAAACCTTAAATGCATTGTGTTGCTTCAAACTGAAATTAGCAACAATCACAGTGTCTTGTTGTGCAAACAATTAAAAGAGCACTTGTAAGTTTATTGTATGAGTGAAGGTGTGCTGTAGACTGAATGAATCAATTGTCTTAATGAAAATGAATTTACTTTGATGTTAACACACTGTAAAAGCTACAATACTGAAACCTTGATATGTGCTGGACTGTATGCCAGCCCACAGGTATTCTGTACTTGTTAAATCAAATTTTTCAGCCATTAAAAACTGATTGTTATTGTTGAAATATTGCCATGACTACTGATGACATAATCTCACATCTCTCCATCTCTGCAAGGCTTCTTCATTCTTCTCCCATGGTATTTGAATACAAATTGGATTGCCAACCATCTGATCCAATTTCTGGTTGTTGTATCCCAATGTGAAGAAGAACTCTCGCCAGTAGAGCTGACCGTGAAGAAACAATGGAATGTTGCTCGTCTTCTTCATCTGGAAAATATACAAAGCAACCAGAGAATAGCAGGGACGTTGCAAGATTCTTTCCTCTTGGACAAGAGGTGAAAATAGTGTATTTTGTGTTTGGGTAAATCCTTATATTAACTGTATTTGTGCATTGAGACAAAACATACATATTTAGTGATTCTCTCCAAAAAATATGATGATACATGTATCTATGAGAAAATAGGCACAATATACTAGGAATGAGCTTAATTTTGAAATATATCCTAAACCAGTAAAACATTTCCAAACATCAGATTAAAAAAAGGATGGTTCCCAAATTTTGCAGCCCAAAAGATATTCACTCTATATGTTTGAATAACGTCCATTCAAATTAAAAACACTTCATACATTGTACATACATGTACACACATATTCCAAGATATAGATTTAAATGCTCCAATCTTTGTTCTACGTCAAATTGTTTCAAAGATCCCATCTGCTGAGCTCAGTAAACTAATTGTTAGGAACTCATTTTTAAAAAAACGATAAAAAATATGGTAGTCACATGTATGTTCAGACATGAATTTGGGGACTTCCACTGAAGTAACTGCTCTTTCTAGTTAAAGCAACTTATTCATATCTCTGAATTATAAAGAATGCAAAATTCAAATAACTGGACCTTTTGGTAGAGTTCAGTCAGTCTCCAGTAGAACAATCTTGGCGACAGACACCCAAACCTGAGATATGGGCCCAATCCAGTAGGGCAAGCCATCAGTGATGCACTGGACATGCGAGGACGTTCAAAATTGGCAACCCATGCCTAAGGAAACAAAAACAAGACAGATGATGGCCAAATTGTCCAACTCTCGTTAGTACATTAACAAAGTACATGTAAACAAGCAGATAAAGTCTCGATTGTTAAGATTGTCTTGATTGGCAGGTTCTGTTTCCATAAATAACACGGCTACACATGTACATGTATCAACATTATCATTTGATCAAATTGCCACAATACTTTGTTGATGGCCATCACACATGTACATCTGCACAATGATGTACATTTGGATGTGCCATTCTTTTTGCATGAGCTTTTTAAGTTGCAAAACATTAAGCACAGAAAGGCGTTTCATTCTAGTTGAATGACGCACCATTGTAGTTGTGTCATATCATTTATTGAACATTTTCTTACCTTTGCCTGAAGCTGGTAATTATCATGTCTGTAAGTTTTACATTAAGTGCCAAGCAAGCAACAAAGATACCGGTATTTGTTACAAACAACAGTTTTTGTCAAATACTCAGTCGGCTCACCATTTCATCCGAATAACAAAAAAGAAAATTCCATCTGTTTATTATTATATGAATGTTCAACAAAAAATGCAGCAACAGTTCTCCCTTCAGACTAATCCTCAGACAAACTTTGACATCTTTAACAAATAAATCAAGAGATGCTGTGTCTTATGTTCACCTTTCGTTCCAGATGCCGGTCCAACTGTTGCTTGGCAACAGTCTCTCCCCCTATCCAGACTGGTGGTGGGATATCTTCCGAATCAAACCCTGCACAAACCAATAAGAATACTTACAATTTTATTATGAGTAGAACCATAGGAGCAGTAAACACTGACACTGATTTCCAATATGTGTTCTGAGATCACTTTATGAAAACTTTGACAAGAGTGGATCCAAATGCACTTGTCCCTCCAAAAGGTCAAAATTACCCTATACATGTGCCTACATGTACATGTAGGTATAACTATTGGTACAACCCTAGCCAAATCTCACTGGGCCCCCATCCGAAGGCCCTTCTCAATGTTGGGTCTTGCTGCGCAGTCTGTGCTCCAGCTCGAGATGACAACATTGACCAGGGGATATGGGGACCTGGTAAAGCTATTGACACATGTGTACCTGTACACTGTACATGTCCCAACAATCTTGTTCAGGACTGTAGGTCTGTTCCACTGATGAGTAGAATCATTTCTTTGACTCCCGTGGAAAATTTATTTTCTACACTATATTTTACTTTGACATCATGAAAGAATGTGTAAATACCAATATCAATTTATTTGGCTATTATTTACTTTGAAAGTTTCATCATGAACTATTTCTACATGTATTTACATGTAAATGAATTCTTGTGTATCTCTAGATACTACAGTGTACATTAAAAACATTTCAGTGGACAAATATGTCTTACAAATAAACACAGGCATTTATCAGTTTTTGTCCTTCACTGACAATACCGTTCTTTTAAGCACCTTGCATATGACCATATATGTACATGTATATTGCATATGTGTAAATACAGTACACATACATGTACCGGTACTACAATAATGAACACATATTCAAGGTTAAATTTTGAAAACCAAGGACATGCAACTACAGCTCAAAAATAACATGTACATGTACTCGTACCGGGTACATGTACGTATAACCACGGAGCTATAAAAATTTAACTACCGGTACTCCAAAAACACAAAATTCATCAAATTTTCACAGGTACTTTAGAAGTGGCCAACAATGGTTAATTTTATTAAAATGTCACAAGCGAACTTATGACAAGTCAATAAAAAGTGAAATGTAATAAGAAGACATTTTCTAACTAAGAACGAAAGTTATGCAATGCTACTTAAATACACAAGTATACATGTACATACATGTACAGTAAAATCTTGATAAGTCGAAGCCCGTTAAGTCAAAACTCTGTTTATCTCGATGATTTCTGTATTCCCAACAAAAGAATAGGCCTTTACATGTATGTACAATAAACTATCCGTAACTCGAAGCGTCAATACCAAAAATTTGAAAATGCCATTCTGTGTGCTACACTACATGTATGTGCATGCACATACGGTACCTACATGTATATTAATTTCCAAATACTTTGGAGAATTACCGGTACATGTATATATATTAGAAAAAAGAAGCTGTAAACTTGCTACTGAAGCACGAAAAATCACAATCTGCCCTGTTTATGGCAGGTACAGTGCAGTATGTAGAGTAAAAACAAGTTTCATAACCATTTTGCCTTGTTAGTTAATTATATCAAAGAAGAATCTTGCAGAGTCCAGGCAACACTAGTCCAAGTCCAGTCAGTCTACTTTTTATTCTGCTCTAAATTTGAAATTGAAATGAAATTTGCAGCACAACAAACCAGCAGATGTCCTGTTAAATCATTCAGTTTAAATGCTCAAATTTTACATATACTAGTACATGTACATGTTCCTGTGTGTCTCAGGTAATATTGCTGCATTATTCAAAGTGAATCATCACAGATACATTATATATTTAAGTACATGTAAATTCAACCAAAAGAGGTGCTCATGTATAAACAGCATTCTCAAAGTTATGTACATGTACACTGTATGCACGTTTTAATATGAGTTTAAAGCAAACCTTAATCAACACTACACCTGAATTTTATTTTCCAAACTGCACTACTTTACATGTATAATCAAATTAAAAAGCTAGTTTCCGCACAAACTAAAAAATAACCTCAATTTAGCTTGGACAGAAAAACAAGACTTAATGCATGCAAAGCAGGAGGATAAGCATGCATAATGAACTTACCCAGCTCTTCCAGTGTTGCTAGTCCATACTTAGAATCATGATTGGCTGCAATGGCTGTGTTGATTCCTTCAATGTCGGATAGCGTTATGGTCTCCTCAGGGAATGTTGGTTGATCAAGGAGTGAGATGAGATACTGGAAATGCTTGTAAGTTAGCGGTGGATTGCTATTATTCATCTTCACAATCCTGCCAATTACACAATGAAAAGTTGAATTTATACAAATGCCACCTTTAAGAAAAACTGGTATAAGGCTTACAAAATATGTTCATGTCTGTATGATAATACTGAGAGGAAAGATAAACATTTCCTTGCTTGATACAGCACAAGCGTGTGAACTGTTTCGTCTGATCTGGACAATTCTTGAGTACTGAAAATGAAGAATATCAGAACCTGGTACTGTATTCCAAAAAAAAATCAATACAGAAACTTTAACCTATTAAGCTATTAGCTCGATAAGAAATAAAAGTGCTCTCATTAATGGTTACTACATGTAACTTTTTCAAAATTCACAAGAAAACTATTCACAAAGCTCATCAGATGTAGACAAAAACTTACACAAACGTACCTATTTAATGCAAAATCCTTATGGCCTTTACATTGTGGGGGTAAATTACATGTGCATGACATTTCTTAAGAATAACGACACAAGTGTTTATTAAAAAGGAAAGAGAGAAACTTCTTCACTCTCAATTACTCACTCCTTTGGATCGTAGAGTGTATGTGACATTCTGGTGATGACTTGTACTTTGAATGTTGCTGCTAGTGTTTTGATCTTAGCATCTCGCTGAATGCCAAATACCTCTGGGTCCTCCTCGAAAGATAACCTAGTTACTCCCCACTCCTGAAAATCCACATTAAGTCAACATTATTATACATGTACCAGGCAAGATATGGGACGGAAGGAACCCCCTCCCCTTACCTGTCCAATCCCTATACACACTCTAAACTATTGTTACCAAACATATCCCCCTAGAAGTCTGTAAAGAATTCCTGAGATTCCGATCAAACAATGACCAACACAAAGGCGGGAGGGGTTCTCTCCATCACATATCTTGCTTCAAATGTACATTATCCACACTTCAAGAAACAAAAAAGATGCTACATGTAAGAAATTGGATACACCTATTAAGGTTAAGCATCTACAGGTGAAAATGCATGGTACGTTGTTGTACATGTAAGAGCACTAAGACTGGATTGTATTTGTCAGAAGCAAGAGATTCTACAGGTGAAAATGCATGGTACGTTGTTGTACATGTAAGAGCACTAAGACTGGATTGTATTTGTCAGAAGCAAGACATACAGTGTACTGTGGGACAGGTTACATGTACACGTATCCAAAGGGCAAGTCACATACAAACTGTTTTATTACAGGACATAATTTGAAAGTGACGCATGTTCATATGAATTGGTTGCTTTAGTTTCTAGTTTTCACACAAATCCTGCACATTGTACATGTAGGTAGCGTACACTGTGAAGTTTCTTTTTTACTAATTTCTTTTTTCAAACATAAACTAAATACCAAGTGCTGTACTCAGACACAAGATACAAAATCCAGGAAAACAACTTTTCATCTATACTTCTCAAAAATGACGACAAGTGAGCTCACTTCATTAGAATTTCCAATGCACAAAAATCTTAAAAATGAATATTGTAACTAAAATTCATTACAGGAGCCAAAATGTAAAATTTGGTGATCAATCAAGCAAGCAGACTCCAACAGTACTATCACTCCAAGTAGTACACAGACCACAGAGAAACACCAATTCATTGCAGGAACACACTCATTAATGAGTGCACACTACATCATTGCATGCAATAATCAAGCTTCATTGTTTCCCTCATATTATACATGTACAGTATGTAGCTCCTTTAAAATTAGGGAACTATGACTACACGTACATGTACAGTTCACAGGTACATGTACATGTACAATTTGCTTGACACATGTACATGTACACGTATTAATCATATAAAACTCCACCGTGATCACTGTTCTATTCATTCCAAATACTGTACTGTCATCATTATTCCACAGTACCTTTACATGTATTTCAAGATGTTATCATCACTTAAGGAAAATGGTTGGAAAACAAATTATATACATCAAGTATATATGTGTCCAATGTACATGTAAGTACTCATTTAAAAATTTCTTCTTTCAAAAAAGTTTCCTGCACAGACTTGTAAAAGCAAACTGTTGCAAATTGTTTTGGTTGGAAAGCGCCCTCTCGTT